CAACATATTAATGTTATAGTAAATGAATCTAAAATATGTTTGAAGCGTAGAAGACTAATCGATACTAAAGATAAAAATCTTCGAAAGAAAAGAAGAGCAAATAATCAACATGAAAATATAAAGAAGGAAGATATCTATAAAACGATTCAAGATATTTCGATAATAAGCTTCTAGAAGAAGTTCAAATGCTTGAGAAAAATAAAGAGACTTTGATAAATTATGTCAATAAAGGAAGAAAATAGGACTAAAAAAACATTTATTGATAATATTTTTACATATAATGTTGTAATTGATAATTTGAATGAAAATAAGAATCATGAGCCTAAATATATTAAATAATATTGATATACGGATGATTGGCCTAAATAGAAATATGTAATCCATGCAGATTAAATTCTCTTATGAAACAAGGAATTTTTAGACTCATAGTCAAAACACTTGAAAATATTAAGCTAGTAGAATACAAATGATATTTATGCAAAGCAAAATGAAAAAGATGAAATTATGAGATACAAAGCAAGACTTAAAGTACAAGGATTTTCGGAAAGTCCCGACATTGATTGTGAGGAGACATATTCTCTTGTAATAGATTCAATTATGTTTCGTTATCTCGTTAACCTAGCAACACATGAAAAATTATATGTGCATCTAATGGATATGATCACAAAATATTTTTATGATTCACTTAATAATGATATCTATATGAAAATCTTAGAAGGATTTAAAATGCTTGAAGTATGTAATTTATATTTTTGAAAAATATATTCACTTAAATTATAGATATCTCTATAATAATTATTTTAGTATTTTTTTTATTATTTTAGTTTTAAAAATTGGATTTATGCTATACCTTTTAATTTTTATATTTTTTAATATTCACTTTTTATTATTAATCTAAGTGCATGTGGTATAATTGTCTTCGTGAATATTTTTTGAAAGAAGGTTATAAAAATGAAATTATCTATTCATGTGTTTTTATAAAGAAATTCAAAAAGAGTTTGTGGCAATTGCTATATATGTTGATAATTTAAATATTATTAGAACTCTTGAAGAGATTCTAAGTGTTATAAGTTATCTAAAAAAAAAAAGAATTTGGCATGAAAGATCTTGGAAAAACAAAATTTTATCTCGAATCGTAATTCGAATGCTTAGAGGTGGTATTTTTATTCATCATTCAACTTATATAAAAAAGATTCTACAATGATTCTATATAGATAAGACTCATTCATTGACTAACCTAATAGCAATTCGTTACTTGATATCTAAAAAGACTCCTTTCGGCATAAAAAAAATAACAAAGAACTTCTTGGTTCCGAAATACTATACCCTAGTGTCATTGGTGTATTGATGTATCTTGCTAATAATACTCGACCTAATATAATATTTTTTGTAAATTTATTAGGAAGACATAGTACTTGCTCCAACATGGAGACATTGGAATAGAATTAAATATATATTACATTATCTCTAAGGAACAATTGATATGTTATTTTACTTAAATAAATCAAAGTTGGAATTAATTAGTTATGCATATGCACCGATCCACACAAAACTCGATCACAAATTGGTTATGTATTTACACATGGTGATATAGTTATATCATGACGGTCTATGAAACAAACTATAGTTGTTACATCTTCAAACCATGTAGAAATATCAGCAATTCATGAGATAAGTCGAGAATGTATTTGGCTAAGATCAATGAATCATCATATTTAAGAAACATGCAGTTTATCCACCGGTAAAAAAAAATTTTAACAATATTATATGAAGATGATATTGCTTGAATAATTCAATTAATGGCGGGATATATCAAAGGAGATAGAACATAACATATATTATCAAAATTATTTTTTACACATGATTTTCAATAAAATGGTGATATTAATATTCAACAAATTCGATCAAGTGACAAGCCAATAGATTTATTCACTAAGGCATTACCTACTCGTAATTTTTGATAAAATAATTTGTAAGATTTAGATGTGTTGTCTTAGAGATCTTCAATAATACTTCAATATGGGAGCATCGACATGGAGATTAATTTGTACAAGAAATATAGTACTCTTTTTCCTTCACTAAAATTTTTTTCTCATTGGGTTTTTTTCTTAAAGTTTTAACGAAGTATGATGGACATTCAAGGAGGAGCATTATAAAATAATGAATAAATTCCCATGTACTATTCACGTAACAAATAAATGTCTATCTACATGAATATAGCATTCATGTAATGAATAAATATACATACCATTCATATTTCTCCTTGTGATTCAATTCACCTTTATCATACATATATGTATTTATTTCTCATTAAATCTTTGAATTTTTCTATTATCTTTCTCTCTAACTCTCTCCAACACATTTCTCTCTAATTCTTTACTATTATTTATTATCATCAATTTTATAATTTTACAATATAAGTGATATATGTTAACCATGTTAGTTTCTGCGTGAACTCATATTGAACCATACATTTTAACTAAATACATACCAAATACCTTCTCTCTTTTTTTCCCCTAGCCATAAGTTAACTAAATACTTACAAATACCTTCTCTTTTTTCCCCTAGCCATAGCAACAACTAAGCCAAACATACACTAAGGTGTCTGTTTGGTAATCGATAATAGAGTGATGGGAATGAAAATGCAGGAATCGGAATGAAATTTTTATTCGCATACTATATTTGAAATGTTAATGAGGAATTAGAAAGCAATTTAAATTTTTTGATATCTAATTTTTCAAACAATTAAAAATAATTTTATTAAACTATAATGGTTGTAAAAATAATAAAAATGATGGTGGTGATTATGACGGTGGTGGTTCTAGTTGTGGTGGTGGTGTAGTGATTGCGTTAGTGGTGTTTATGGTGGTGGTGGTGGTGATTGTAACAGTAGTGGTGGTGGTGGTGGTTGTAATAGTGGTTGTGTTGGTAGAGGTGGTGGTTGTAGTTGTAATGGTGGTGGTGGTTGTGATCGTGTTAGTAGTGGTGGTGGTGATAGTTGTGTTGGTAGTGGTAGTTGTGTTGGTAAAAGTAGTTAATAGACAATAAATAAATAAAATATATTATTATTTAAAAAAAAAATTCATTCTCATTCCTTATTTTTATTCTCACATCCTATGTGGAAAAGAAGTTATGTGTAAATTTTCATTTTCATTCCTACTCTTCATTCCCATTTTCACTTTATTCCCTCTAACCAAACAACTACAACGTGGAAATAAAACTTTCATTCGCATTCCCACTATTCTATTTCGATTACCAAACAACACCTAAGTGACAAGAAATTTGAATTCCATCACCATTCTCCTATCTTTAGAATAAGATAACAATAAGTTTACACGAATTTCTTTTTAAGAATTTCTATTTATTTAATTTTTTGGGGAATAGTTAATTGAGAGTTTTTATAGCACTTTCTTAGATGTCTACCAGACCTATAAACTATTAGGAAGTGTTTACATTGTTACGACAAGACGACTCATTGCAATTTACTCGTATTGTCTTCAAATTACCTATATTAATGTCCATGTCGTAAGTTCTAATTTCCAAAGATTAGTCATGTTTAGTGTATACGCACAGGGAGAACAAGGAGGGTCCATTAAGTAGATTGTCCACAGTGTATTTCACGTGATTTTTGTACAAACATTGCTGATCAGCTTATCTGAAAATGATATTAGCATCCATCAGTGTCGGTTTTCCTCCCTCCATTAATTAATGCATGATTAATCCAAGAAGAATAATCCAAATCTCTAATGAATTAATCATACGAACAAAAGTAAACTAAGGTAGTAAGCATAAGATATACAAGTTCTCTAGGCATTTTTTAACATTGTCATGTTAGCTAACTTTTATGCATAGATTTCTCATTTGCCACTTGAGGGGAAATTCCTTGTGATTCGTAATGCAAGGTCAGAAAGTGTGCTTTTAGGTATAGCAGAATTAGGGCCCAGAAATCTGACATGCTTGAAGCTGTTTCCTGATCCCTAAAGCGTAATAAATTCAATTCACCACTAAACTATGATTTGCTGCCTCTCTATTATAAGCTTGCCAACAAATGAATAATACAAGAAAAAATAAGACAAATGCAATTATTGCCATATGGGTTTGGATGATTTGAACTATTAATAATCAACATAATGGGAAACACAAAAGTTTTTGTGCTCTTTTTTATAATGAATTCGATAGCATGAAAAGTGGATAAACAATTAAATTCTATCTAATCGTGCTTTTCACCTACGCCAAGAATCACTACTTTGCAGAGTTTCCAGTATCTCGAACCGAAAAGTTCAAAAAGGTATCGTGCACTAGCAGAGTCATAGGGTACTAGACCTCATAGCTAAAACAAGTCTCATCGTTCAGAATCACCCTCCCTCCCCCAGCAAACTGTTTTTTGTTTGTTTTTTTTTTTTTAACAATCAAAGGGAATTTTCAGGACAGTTTTTGTACACTAAGACTGACCGGATCTATTTCCTCAGTGTGATCAAAAGCAGCCTTACAAAATGTCCATCCCAATTGAGAGAGAGAGAGAGAGAGAGAGAGATCTCACTTATTATAACAAAGGGCCATGAACTTCTACAGATTAATTTACAAGAAGCCATTGAATGGAGGATAATCAAACAAAATTTTAAAATAAACTTAATTTAGCATGACATTAAATCAGTTAATACAAAGTAAAACAAACAAGAGAGAAAAGATGAAGTGTACCTAATACACAGGCATTAAAAGTGACCCCCTCAATCTGGTACATTTCTAGCTTTCAACAGGAGGGTCTTGTCTATACCAGCACTTTCAAGCAAAGACAGCAGTGAGACATTGATTTTGACACTTACAAAGACCACATTTGCTCACGTAGAATTACTACAAAAATTTAGGTCACACTCGATTGCAATACTTGTCCAAGTAAGTAGGTATCAAAGTGCCAATTCAACTCTATATAAGAGATGATCAATTTGAAGAGGCAACACAAAGAAAACCAAGATTGACATAAACCAAAAAGAAGTCCTAAGATGGCAACGATTTCACGCAATCATCTTGTTCTGGTCGCTTTTTTCCTGCTTTGCTTTGTTTCCACTTGTACTAGAGGTAAATTAGTTTCTATACCTCATAATTAATCTTTACAATTGGTTGAAGTTTTGATATTGTAAATTAAACTATTCCTTAATTGATTCTCTTTTCTTTTACTTTTTTAGCAGCAAGGACTTTGCGAGAGGCTAACAACCACGAAGTAGAGAAGAAGGACGAAAATGATCTGTTTCCATCAAAAGAAAATGGGTTGTCAGATGTGGATGATTTAGTTGGGATGGATTACACTCCAGCAAGAAAGAAGCCTCCAATCCATAACTAAAAATGGAAAATTTTGGTTGAGCTAGTACAAGAGTTTAGTCCATTCTTCTACCTATACTTCTACTATATATGGTTTTGAGCTTAATTTATATTATAGCCTTATAGCTAGTAGCTAGCACATACAGTAATAGCAACTTATAGGAGAGACAAATATTAAGTATATGGTTATCTGGGAGTATAACTTGCAAGGGATATTGCACTGGGATCGAGGGGTTCAGTAGATTAGAACTTAATCTTTTGTAAATTAGGTTATAAATCAAGGCTTAAGGCAGAACTGACTGCAACGTGATATACAGACGTATCAATTATGCTTTGTAATACCTTGGTTATGAAATCCAAGTACACTTTCTTTCTTTTTTTTTTTTTTTTGGTATGAAAATGAATGGTAATATTTGATGAGCGGAAAAAAAAAACACACTTGATATGTTCAGAGACTGTGTTGAGAAAACTTTTCACAAAATGTAACAGAGACATTTAGTAAAAGATCAAAAGCTTCAAACTATAAATGCAGCTTCTATGGCTGTGTATATGACTTAAGTCATCTATTAATTAATTGGTTTAATTTCTGATTGACAGACAGTAATTGAAAGCTCCAAAGAGGAAATGGAAAAACTAGAAGGAGAAGGAAGGATACACTTTCTTTTCTTTTCTTGGCTGATAATACTGATGCACATGCACTTGCTGGGGGGTATGTACTGACTTCCTAATTTGGGGTCTTGAAAGGACGAATCTTCAATGCATTGCTAGATTGAAACCAGTATTTAAGCTCAAAATCAAGTCACTTTCTGAAATTCTACAAAAGTGCCCCCACGTGAACATTTCCTATATAGAAACACTATTTGCAACCTCCAGATATGCTTAAACTTATTAACGACTCAGTCTTAGCTCATCATGAGAGAATTATGTGAAAAACAATGTAGGAAGCGCAACAAACAGTTGTTTGAGAAAGAGTAATTAAAGTCAATTCAATGGTGAGGCTGAAGTGCAACAAATTGATGCATTGAATTATTAAATATATCTTTAATCTATAAAAATGTAAAAACCGATGGAATTAGAGACTCCGGTGAAGCCACCTAAGATTCCAAGTAGACTGACTTCGAAGTATATACAATCTTGTTAAGTTGTGGAGACCGATATAAATATGATCCGTAGTTTAGTGTGCTATGTAGAGCTAACACAACGGTCTTATTAGTTGTCCATACTATAAATATGAACACTATTTCTTATATTTGTAGCTAATCGAAAAACCTAATAAGAATTCTTAGTGCAACCGTAAAGTAAACACATTGTTGAATTATGTAAATCTTCATATCGTGTGATCTTTATTGTCTTTCTACTTTATTTTTTAATTGATTTGTTTTCTAACAACTCGGTATTAGAGCCTTAGGTTTGCGGGATAAGGAAGAATGATGGTAGAAGAAGAAAAAGTCGGGATTATCAAGTTCGATGGAAAAAACTTTGAGTTTTGAAAGATGTAGATTAAAGATTATTTGTATCGAAGTAGCTACATGAACTCCTATCGGGAAAGAAGCGAGGAGGGAATTCGTTAGATCGTTAAGCGTTGGCTGCTATTTGACTAACAATAATGCAAAACAATGTTTTCAACATCGTGAAAGAAAAGACTACATCAAATTTAATGATGGCATTGTCAAATATGTATGAGAAGTCATTTGCCTCAACCAAAATACTTATAATGAGTTGATTATTCAATTTGAAGATGGAAGAGGGTGCATCCGTAACCAATCACATTAAGTTCAATTTAATCAATTTAATGTACATGTAGATCACTCAATTGGAGTCGGTAAATATCATGTTTGATGATGAATTTAAGTAATTGATTTTGCTACGCTCTCTAATTAGTAACTAGTCTAGAACGACAATAGCAATAAGTAGTTCATCAAAAAATAAGAAATTGAAATTGGATGATGTTCGAGATTTAATGATCAATGAAGATCTTCATGTATGTGAGTTTAGGGAATCTTCAAGTTCTACTCGAGTATATATACTAGAGGAAGGGACATCTAGCGAGGTCAAAATTATGATCATGGAATGTCAAAATCAAAGGATAGAGGGAAATCCAAAAGCCGTAAAGACATCATGAGTTAGAATTATAATAAAAAGAGACACTTTTAAAAATTAGTGTAAGGCTCTAAAAAGAAAAAGATTTAGGATGATGATTCTGCATATGCAACAACTAATAAAATTATAGAAGCATTGATTTATGGTGTGGATAGTCTCATTGTATCTTAGATTCTAAACTCGGATGTACCATTTCATTCTCCTTTATGTAAAGACTGTTGTAATATGTTACGGAGAATTTTGGAAAGGTTGATCTTGTAGATGATGAATCTCTAAACATTGTAAGAAAATGTGAGGTTAGTATCAAAACTACCAATGAAATACAATGAAAACTACAAAATATTAGACATATTCGAAGCCTTAAGAAAAATATAATTTCTATAAGTGAATTTGATGATATTGGATATACGTTAGTATTTGAGAGAAGTTCATGAAAGATAACAAAAAGGAATATGATTCTAGCACGAGATAGTAAGGTTGAAACTTTTTACACTACTGCTATAACAAAGGATACATCGGTAATGATCAATTCTAATGATGATAATGATTTGATATGGTGGCATCGAAAACTTGGGCACATGAGTGAAAAAGGTTTGAAACAATTAGCATCAAAGGAAAAATTAACGGAATTGAAACATTTTGGTGTTGTTTTATAGGAGGCTTGTATTTGTAAAAAGTCGAAGAGAGTCTATTTCTTAAAGTCTAGTAGATCTTTTAAAAAAGAAAAAATAGAATCGAGTGCATATAGATGTATAAGGACAAGCCCTCGTGACTTTTCTTAGAGGCTCACGCTACTATGTCACTTTTATTTATGACTTCACCAAAAATGTATGGGTTTATTTTTTGAAAAATAAATCTGAAATGTTTGCTATGCTTAAAAAGTGGAAGGGTAAAGTTGAAAATCGATCGATTTGAAAATTAAAGCCTTTAAGTCGGATAATGGAGGGGAGTATATAGCATAAAATTCAAAAATTACTACTCAAACAATGGGATTAGAATGATCAAGACAATTTTTATGACACTAGAGCAAAATAGTATGGCTAAAAAACTAAACAAAACTTTGAAAGAGCGAGTAAAGAGCATGAAATTGCATTCTATTTTGCTTAAAGCATTTTGGATTGATGTGTTGAATATAATAGATTACCTCATAAATTCATTAGTTTCATTGGATTGCAAATTATCCGAGGAGGTATGGTCGGAAAATGAGGTAAATTTTTCACACTTAAGAACTTTTGGTTGTGTTTCATATATACATATAGGATCCGATGATAAAGATAAGCTTGATCCTCATGCTAGAAATTTTTATTTTATTAGTTATGGTTTTGATGATTTTATTTATCGATTTTGGAATGATCAGAATAAAACAATCATAAGGCATAAAGATGTCACTTTTAATGAAAATGTGCTCGTATAAAGATAGGCTTGGGGTAGATTTTAACGAGTATAAAAAACCAACTATAAAAAAGTAAGAAAGCTAAATTATAGGAGATCTTAAAGATCGATGTATCTAAAATTAAGAATTTTGATGACGAGAGATAGGAAAGCTAAAGCAAAACTCGAATCAATTACTCATACTCCTTAACTAAAGAGATTTGATAGAGTTTCTAGAATTACTAAAAGGTATTCATCTTTATTAAATTATTTGCTTCTTACTAATGTTGGGAAATCAAAATTTATTAGCGAAGCAATGTAGATGAAAGATTCTAACAAGTGGGAGTTAGCTATGAAAGAAAAGATGAGGTCTCTTAAGAAGAGTTAGACATGGATCTTACTAAGGTACCGTAAGGAAAAAAGGACTACGTAAAAAGTAGGTGTACAAGATCAAAAAAAAGTCGGATGACGATAAAAGATACAAGACAAGCTAGTTGTAAAGGGTTTTCAATAGAAAGAAAGAATTGACCACACCGAGGCTTTCCCTCATATAATCAAGATAACTATTATTAGGTTGGTGCAAAGTATTATTATCGCAAAAATATCTACATCTAGAGTAATTAGATGTAAAAATTACTTTTTTATATGGTGACTTTGAGGAAAATATCTATAGAGTATAACCGGAAGACTATGAAGTTCCATAGAAAGAGAAACATATGTCTAAGCTATAAAAAAATCTGTATGGTTTGAAAGCAATGGTATAAGAAGTTTGATGGGTTCATGTGTGATAATGGTTTCAAGAGATACGAGATGGATCACTATTATCATATGAATAGGTTTGATGAATGTTATGTTATTTTGCTTCTCTATGTTAATGATATACTTGTTCTTGGATCTAACATGAAAGATAAAGAACTTGGAATCTACAAAGCACATACTTGAATGAGAATTAATTGAAATAGATCAAAATGTATATTGTTACGAAGTCATCTCGCATTTTCAAAAGAGTACTCACCAAAGACAATTGATAAGTGAATGAAAATATCTACGAGTCCCTTATGCATCGGTAGTTAGAAGCATAGTGTATGCTACGGTTTGCACAAGACTCGATATAGCTCATGCACTAGGAGCTATTGATGTGAGCCTCGCAAAAAAAAATGCATGAGAAACTAGAGTTACCACCTAGCTAATCGTGAAAAACTAACAAACCCTAAACATATTAGTCTACAAAGATAACTAGATAAGAGGTTGATTACATATGAAAAAAATATAACATCATTGTCATCTTGTCCTACTTAAGGTAAATTATATTGTTTACATATGAAAATAAATATATGATTTTACTATATTATGTTTAGCCTATTTGAATGAATTTATTTTATTTGAATAGAATAGTAGAGTAATTCAAGGTCCAATTGATCCAAGTTCGATACCGATACTCGAAGAAAAAGGTAGGGGAGGCTGAAATTTTGGCTAATCTTTAACGAACATGACTTATATCGACCAATAGGTGAGATTTTAAATATTGATAGCCTTTATTGAAATAAATAA